GTGTGTGTGTGTGTGTGTGTGTGTGTGTGTGTGTGTGTGTGTGTGTGTGTTTTCCATGCATGTGTATGTATGTAGAGACCAAAGCTTGATTTTTGGCTACCTTTGTCACACTCCATTCTAGTTTTTGAGACATGGTCACTCACTGAATCTAGTGATTATGTATTCAACTAGTATGCCTGGCTAATATGGTCTAGAAACCCATCTATCTTGTGCACCACCATCCTTAGGGTTGTAGACATGTCCAGATGAACGAAGATTCTGGGAATTCAACCTCAAGCACTTTACCAACTGAGCCATCTCCTCAGCCCTAATTTTTTTTCATTCTTGTAAGTGAATAAGGTGGCATGGAATATTTCATAGATTGTAGATACTGGCAGAAAGGCCACAATTCTTAGGTTAAAAAGAAATGAGTTTATCACTCAAGGTCCAGCAAGCAGCTTTCGTTTCAGTGTTTGGCTTGTCCTACCCCACTCTTTAGTTTCTCCTGGACCCTGCAGGAAGGAGCAGAGAACTCCAGTACACACAGTCAGTTGTCCTGAAAAAGAGCAAACTTAGGGAAGGCAGCCTAAGTATTTTATAACTATAGGAAGCTGCATGGTTTTTATGCTCAGGAGGACATGCCCCCTATTTTCTAAGATTCTTCACCACAGAACAAACAAAAAAGATGAAGCCATAAAAGGCAGGCAATGCATATTCTTGGAAAACATAAAAATATGAGCAAGACATGCCTATCCCTATGTGTGTAGGTCAATCATGCCCCATTTTTAAGAAATGAGTCCTTTCAAACAGAGGTGGCTGGGGAAATTTTACATGTCCAGATGTGGATCTGCTTTCTTCCCACTAACAGCCACCTGACATTTGACTTCCTCTTTTTCTTCCTTTTTGACATCCTCAACTACTTAATTTGTTTTCTAAAACTTGCATGTATTTTAAAGGTTTTTAAACACAAATCAATTAGCCCTAATGATATGATTTACATCTGTAATACTGGGAGACTGAGGCATGGGGGCTGGCACAAGCTTAAGACTAGCCTGGTCTACAGAGTGAATGTTAGGCCAGCCAGAGCTACACAGTAAGACCCTGACTCAAGACAAAACAAACAAGACACTCTTCTTATGTTATTAATTGCCATGTGATACCCCACTTCAATACTAACTAATTGTAAACACAACTCTGAGGCTGGACAGATGACACAGAGGCTAAGAGCACTTTCTGCTCTTGCAGAAGACCCATATTTGTTTACAGGCAGCTCACACTCAGCTGTAACTCCAGCTTTGAAAGACCTGACACCCTCTTCTGGCTTCTTAGAACACCTGGACTCACACACATTATACCTTTGTACAATTAAAAATAAAATCGTACAAACATAAATGAGTCTCACATGTCCTTGTGACTGGGTTGGACTGGCTTCTTTTCCTTGTTCCTCTGTGATCATTTTGTACTGCTTTATTAAGCTAGAAGACTAGCTGCACTTAGACTCACTACTTGATGGCAACTACTGGCTTTCCTTCTTCTTACTGTGACCTATGGCCCTCACAAGGCTTTGGATGACTTCCCTTTTGAAAAGTGTCTCTTCTGCATACTCCATCTGACTTCATTTATTTTCTGTTGCTACCATCAAGCCTGTAAGACAGGCAAGAGTCAAGGTGATAAAAAACCACAGTTCATCTTTGGATGGAAGAAGCTAGAAATAAATTATGATCATAAATATCCCCTCTTGAGTGGAACTCTAATGAATAAACTTTTCTTTGCTGTGACTCTGTAAATCACATTGTCTCCTTGGAATTTAGTTTCTCTATCAATAAGATCCAGTATAAATTTTAAAGACAGACAAGGTCTCTGTCAGACCTCAGTGTCTATGTTTTTAACAGACTTTCTAAAACACCATAATGTTCTTGTTTTACAGTTGGCTGTCCATAACCCAGCATGGGCTAGCGTTCAGACACATGGCATTTGGTCTTCTGATGCTGTTGTCAAGGTAACTCGCAGGCAGTGATGGTGCAGCAGGCTTGTGACCATTTGGCTTTTATGGTTTTCCCCTCTTGCATATGGGGTTTTATGTCCAGTCACTCAATCACCTCTTGAAGAGATAGTGTTAAAGAGAAATAGCAAATGACCTTAAAATTAGAATTTCATGAGACAATGAGAAGTAATATTTCCTTTCTATACATTCTCAATATTTCTAACGCAGGGCCTTGAAGTAGTAGGAGATTCATAGTAGGGCCTTCACTAATTGATGTTAATCAACCATCATGTTTCTCTAGTGTCTGAATCTTCATATCAGGAGCCAGTTTCTGGAGAAATATGTTTTGGTGTCCCGTTGTACAATATTGTATTATGTATTTTACACTGACTACTAAAGAGTATTCTGGGTGTTCTCACTATAAATAAATGATTACTATTTGAGATGGTAGCTATCATAATTGCTACTACACAAAGTATACACATATGGAAACATTACTCAATGTCATATAATATGTGCAGTAAGCAACCTGGCTCCTATCTCTAATATCAGAGTCAAACATTTCCTACTGGGAAATTCCCTATTCCATTTGTTCAGAAAAATTTCCATTTTGTTTTTGCTATTTATATTTTTTTATTTAATTAAAATACAATTACATTATTTCCTTTCTCCTTCACTTCCCTCTGACCCCTACCATATCCCCTCTTTTTCTTTAATCACTATTGTTACATATACTTTCAAGTAAATATACAAATATAACCTGCTGGATCTTTTTATTGTTGCCTGTATGTGTATATATTAGGGTGGACCAGTTGGTGTTGGATAACTATTTAGGGGGCTCATCCCTGGGGAAGACTAATTATCTTTCTCACCAGTCCTTAGTTTGCCTGTAGCTCTTTTTCTGGGGTTGGAGTCCTATGAGATTTTCCCCACCAACACTGGCATGTCAACTTGCACTGTCTTTGTTCAGGTCTGTTTATACATCAGAAACACAATCCTCACACCTAAGGCTCAAGAACATTGAAGAAGAGGGGAGAGAAAGATTGTAAGAGCCAGTGGACCAAGATGTCTGCTGTGAGATTGTGTCTCCTAAAAATAACAGGCAAATGACACCTCCAATGTCAACAGTATAGCTGCTTAAAAAGACTTGTTTATATTTTAAACTCAGTATCTTAAAGATAGAAATAATGTAAGTTTGTAAATTACACAAACGTATTACACAAATATGTATATTCATTAAATCTATAGCATGATAATATAAACCAACACAATAAATATGTAATAAAATTATTATATAAATATGTAATTTTACATAAAATTATATAATCAATTTCACATGAAATCCCATGCTTTACTCATTATATATATATATATATATATATATATATATATATATATATGTGTGTGTGTGTGTGTGTGTGTATGTATGTATGTATGTATATATATGTGTGTGTATGTATATATATATTCCTGTTTGGTTTTTCGACTGGGATGTGAGAAATGCGCATGCTTGGGTCAGGTCTGTGTACAGGATGGGTAGACTCTACACGACAGGCCTGTTATGCCTGCTGCCTGTCACCCTTTGTTATGTTGTAAGTGTGAACATGGTGGAAACCATGGTTTTCTCTGGAGTGCCCTGGTGCAAACTCTGTAACGATGTCCTCCTCTGTTTACTAAGGGATAGGTGTCACATCTGGCAAACCCACATCCCTTTGTGTTTGTCTACACCGATCAACTCTGGGATGTTAAATACCCTGTCCCAGTCGGCTTCCTGTCAACCAGACACAAGCTAGCGTCCCTGGGGAAGAGGGAATCTGAATTGAGAAACACCTTCGTAAGATTGGACTGTAGGCAAGTCTGTGGTGTGTTTTCTTGACTAATGGTTGATGGAGGAGTTCCCAGTTCACTGTGGGCGGTGCTACCCCTGGGGAGGTGGTCCTGTGTTCCGTGAGAAAGCAGGCTGTGTAAGTCATCGGAACAAGGCAGTAAACAGTGTTCCCCCATGGATGCTGCTTCAGCTCCTGCTCTGCATTCCTGTCCTCTCTTCCCCCGGTGATGGAGTGTGACCTAAGGGTTGTTAGATGGAGTAAACCCTTTGCTCCTCAAGTTGCTTCCGATCATGTTCTTTATCAAAGCAATGGAAATCCTAACTAAGACAGGATCTTCCTCCTCTCAACAGACGGGAAGAGAACAGCTAAGGGGCTGGAGCACTGTCTCATCTTTAAAAATGATTGCTGTTCTTCCACAGTACCCGAAATTACTTCCTAGCCCCTATGTTGGGAGTCTCACAAATCCCTCTAGCTCTTCCTCTGCAGGACTTGATGTCCTCTTTTGGTCTATGTGTTCACTGCATACACACACACACACACTCACACATATGCACTTGTACACACACACACACAAATAAAAATCTAAAAAATGTGTTCAAACATTAAAATATAGCAATCTGCTTTCAAATGAAGACAATTGATCCTTTCAGGGAATTCATAGTTCTTTACCCACTATGGTTCAAATATTGCAGTCAGGGAGAAGTTGCCCAGCCAAGGAGTTAGAGTGCTGTTTTATATCCTCATGGTCATATGGCGATTTTTTTTATATCTCTCTTTTTATTTGGTCTTTCGAAAACTGTGGCTCTTGTTCCTTTTTTTAAAAAAAAATCTCCTCTGTCTTTAAGTCTGCTGACACAGACTGGGCCATGATCATGTTCTTTCAGTAATGATTAATGTGAGTTGGGAAGAGTGTGCAGAGGTATAAACATGAGACCCTGATTTTCATCCCAAGCACCTTAAATCCTTGACATGGTGACATGTGCTTGCAACCATGGTGCTGGGGAGGTGGTGCTATATGGATTCTTAGAGCTCTGGCTAGGCAGCTGAGGCTACTGGACAGATTCAGGTCAGTGAGAGACTCTGTCTCAGTAAACAAGGAGGACAGTTCCCTGGGAACAAGATCTGGGAACTGTGATCTTTCATAAGAAAAAGAACAAAAGGCCTCTGTCCTTTATATTCATATATACAAACATACATCTACAAATATATGTGCTTTCTCATATGCACCTATACATATATGTGCACACACACACACACACACACACACACACACACACACCAATGCACTTCTCCAAGTTCAGATCTCACTTCTGCGCCAGTATACAAAAACAGTTTTCTGACAGATAGCTTGGATTTGATTCTGATTGCTTCTGTTCCCCAAAATGCAAGGCAGATGTTGCCTGTCTGGTGTCTGAGTGTAAAGGCTTCTGCTCCTGTTTTCTGTATTTGCTGATGTTCCCACTTGAGCAGCTCTCCTTGGCACTGTCGACTTGCTCATGTTACTAGTATCGGTTTATATTTGAGTCCTTTGAATGACTATCAAAGCATACTTCTGGGACAGGAAGTGAACTCTGCATATAAAAGTGCTTGCTGTGCAATTCTGAGGATGTGAGTTTAGACCCCAGAACCCAGGGTGGAAGAGAAGAACTTACTTCTGAAAGTTATTCTCTGACCTCCACACATGTGCCCTGGCACATACCTGCCTACTTACACATTCACATCAAACACACACATGATAATAATAAATGAGATAATTTCAGTATATATTTGTTAAATATATACCACGTACCTGCTGAGGATGTGGGGAAAGTGGTTTTCCTTGGGATATTTGCTTTGATGATTACATGATGACTGAATATTTTTGTTAGACAGGTTTCTAAGAAGAACGCTGGACACAGAAATATTCCCTGATTGGCTCTTGGTATATTCTTCCAGAAAGTTCTGTGTCTAGCAGAACTGTGCCCAGATATGTATCAATTATTTCTAAGAATGTCTTTCAAATGCTTAAGTTGTAATTATATTTGCTCTTATAGTTTTGAGAGGATGAAAGAAAAAAAATACCTGCTAAACATGTAACTCCTAAGACACAGGATTCTATTTTCTTATATTGCTTTGACTTCTTTCTCTTCCCAATGGAGATTCTTAGCATGTGCTGCAGGTATCACTCTGCACAGGGCAAAACAAGTGAATGGAATCCAAGTACTCCTTCCTATATGAGTGCACATAGATATGCAGCTCAAAAGAAGATTTTAATAACCTTCATACTCATAATTTCAATCAATATTAGTAGGGCCATTTATTCAGCACATCTTGTGATGTAGTATTGAAGCATCGTTCATATTCTTATCAAAAACCATATTGTCAGGCTGCGGAGATGGCTCAGTGGGCAAAGCCCTTGCCCTGCAAGCATAAAGACCTGCATTTGAATCCACATGACCCATAAAAAAGCTGAGTCGAGTGTAATCCCTGATCTGAGGGGCTGGAGACAGGAGGCTCACTGGAGCTTGCCTGCCAGCCAGCATAGCAGATTCAGTGAGCTCTACATGCAGCTAGAAGTTGCGTCTAAAAGGCTCCACTCCTACTTGAGGCATGTTGGCAATCTATAGCTGCTGGATGAGGGAGAGTTTCTTTCCTTCAGGGACATGACTACTGACAGGCTCCTCATGCTACACTGGTCAACCCTACACTCGAGTATATACTGGCAATACTAACTGGACTCAGTTGTTTCTATATTTCAAAAATAGTAGAAGAAGCATAAATTTGAGGGGGCAGGGGCCTTGGGAGGAGTTAATAAGCAGGGATTTAGGGGTAAATATGACCAGAATGCATTGTACTGAATTTTCTTTCTTTTTTTTTATTTTGGTTTTGCGAGACAATGTTTCTCTGTGTAGTTTTTGGTGCCTGTCCTGGATCTCACTCTGTAGACCAAACTGGCCTCAAACTCACAGAGATCCACCTGGCACTGCCTCCCAAGTGCTGGGATTAAAGGTGTGCACCACCACCACCCAGTGGTACTGAATTTTCAAAGAAATAAAAATAAATAAATTGGACAGAAAGATTGAGGAATATTTCCAGCTGTAGGAACTGAATACAACCTCTGGTTCTCTGGTCTGAACAGAACCAGTTTGATAAAAGAACCAAGTAACAGTAGTTGTGGCACTGAGAAGGCTGTGGACAGGAGAAAGATAAGCCTGCTTAGATGCAGCTGATGGAGAAAACACCTTCAATAGCTTCTTGTTCTCCTTATGCCTGATTGTCCTCTGGAAAGTCTCGTTCTAAATCGAGAGGGCTGAGGAGTTTAACTAATACAATTCATGGAGTTCCATTGTTGGGATACAGAACAGGTAAGGAGAGGGAAGAATGGGATGAGAGAACAGGGAGACACTGTCTCATGAAGGAGGACTTGGGCCTTCCTTATTTCTGTCCCTTATTCCTCCCTGAACCCAAAGTGATTGAACCTATGTGGATATGTATTTTCTTATGCATTTTATAGTACTAGTAGTACTCATTGAGAGTGGATGCTCATCTACCTCTGGGCCATGCAGTAATCAGAGCAAGGCACTGAGTCCCCAGAGAGCGAAGGCCTGTGCATAACTGTATTGCTTGAGTCAGTCAGGGGTTAAATGGACTTAATCCTGGAGCTGAGAATCAGAAAGCCCACCTGCTGGTAGAACTATGCTGTAGCCTAAGTCTGATCTCTGACTCATAGGATTTCTATCTTTTGATATATTACCATCTATCTGCTTCAGAATTCAAGTGTCAAGACTTTTCTTAATTATTATCCACATGCATTTGTTCACTATATTGCTTGAATCCCCTGGAGGAATGTTTGTCAATGGGGTGGTTTTGCTCCCCAGAGGACATTAGCCATGATTAGAGATATTTTTTGGTATTCAGTTCTGGAACCAAGATACTACTGGTGTCTAGTTAGTAGAAATAACAGTTGAGGCTCAGTATCCCAAAAGGTACAGGAAGCTTCTCACCATGAATTATCCAGAAGGCTAGAGAGATGATGGCACAATGGTTAAGATAATTTCCTGCTCTTCCGTGTGAGCCAAGTTCAGTTCCAGCACCCATGTGGGGCAACTCACAAGGCTAAGGGGCTTATTCTTCCCCAACAAGAAATTCTCAGCATTCAGAGAACTTGCAGCTGCAGTTTGGGTGTTTTTGAGTTGGTGGACACAGATGCTGGGAACTTAACTCAGGTCCTTCGCAAGAGCAGTGAGTACTCTTAACTGCTGACTGTCTCCCAGCTCTTGCTGCGTAATTTATAAATGACACTGTAAGAAAATCATTTTCAGCATACAGAATGAAAACAGAGGGAATGGAAAGGCAGAGAGAACTTAACAGAAGCAATCCTGATAGAAAGTGAACTTAAAAACCAAACTCATGAGATGCCTTCTGAAGATAAAAGATTTTAAATTAGTTTTTAAGGTTCTGAAAACTATTAGCAAATATGATCAATATGACAGGACCTGTAGTCAGTTGGAATTTTATTACTAAAATTGGAAATGGAAAATAAAACAGTATTTGAACTTCTAAAAACTGTAGTGGTTCCAATTGTTCTGCTCTTTGGATTCCGTTTATTCCGTATGTCATTGCTTCAGGTCTTATTTATAAGCTACTTTTAGTAAAATTGTGTATTTTTTTTCTATTACAGTAGATGCTGAGCTATGCTTCTTGGCCCTATATTAAGACTGACAGACTTAATCTCTCAGCTTCTGGCAGTGCAGCCAGAAGCCAGCATTCTACTAATAAATCAACTCTGATCTCCCTCATACCAAGTAAGAATGTTAATTTGGAATCATACTTATAACTAGTATTCTTATAACATACTTGTAACTGTTCAGACTAGTAGTATTTCCAGACATGCATTAGTATTAGTTACAAGGGCAATCAACAAGGTAGTTTGCTTAAAAGCAGATTCTCAAAAATGAGAGTTTACTCTTACTTAGATATGTGTATTAGTATTTATTATTAAAAATCATAACCTAATTGTGATTTCAGCACAGTTAAAGGACCCCAGATATCCTTAAATGAGTTTTCAAATCTTGTGCACTTACAAAATCATCTCTGTTTAGAGGTATCCTGTATGCACTGTTATATATGTAATTTTTTTGTCTTACTAACTCATGAATGCTTCAGAAAGAACTGTTTTTTTGTTTTTGTTTTTGTTTTTTTTCACAATACCATTAAGGTT